TCTATATTGTTGGACCTATATTGTTACTAAAAAGTAAAAATAGGGGAGGTATATGTAATTTTGAAAACCTAGAGGGAGCTCTCTGTAATTTTTAAAAATCTTAGGAGAGGTTTGTGAAATTATCCCTTTTTTTAAATGTCAAGAGTGTATAATATATTTGAAAGTTTATCAAAGTTTTTTGTAAGTTACAAAGATAATTGGGTCTGCCTGGGTTGGTTTTATCTGAATAATTATGTAAAAAATAAAAAAAAAAACTTACCCCACATGTTTTGATCCCAATCAAATTGATTGATATATTTGGAATGCTACTAGTACAATATAAAACATACAACATGTGGGACGCGTAAAGATCAGCATAATCTTACATTTACACATCGACCACTTCAGTCCGCTGCAGGGACCAATTACTTATAATATTGCTGAAAAAAAAATCGAAAGAGTAGTGCTCTGACAATTCCAAAGAGTAGTACTTTATAGTTAAAAAAGGACGGACCCGTTAAAAGCAGAACTCCAAGCTAACAGAGCTGAGACTGGAAAAATGTGAAACATTTATCAATTAGTATCATGGACAAAGAGAAACAAGTAACGAAATTTTTTTAAGAAAATCGCAATCTAAACGCAAATGTTGACGTTTTCTCTACTTCAAATATATGTGTTTTGAGCTAATTTATAAATCATTTACACATTTTTTTATTTTTTTAATTTAGACGTCCAAATCGATGGTTTGACAACTAAAAAGATACAACATGCTAAAATTTATATATATAATTGTTTGTATTATTTTTAAGTTAGTGCAAAAGGTATTCTCATGGTTATGAATTATTGCAAGTTATTTTTAAGAGTAGTGTAAATGATTCATAATTTTAAGTACTTTAACATTTTTTGTCCAAACCAATGACATAAAAATTATTAAAGAGTTTTTTTGATCTTGTTACCAACTCTTAGATTTTCATTAAAGAACTACATCAATCAATTTACAAAAGATAAGCAACAAATTTGGTGTGTTATGACAATTAAAAAATCGCAAGAAAGGACAAATTTGGAATGAAATTATACTCTCTCTCTCTCTCTCTCTCAAAATGAGTTTTTTAATATTATATTTTGAAATGGATTTCAAATGTTACAAAACGCTTAAAACAAGAGAGCCAAATGAGATTTTTTAAAGTTTGAGGGCACTGAGTGAAATTGTCAGGTTTCTGAAATTATCCTTTTTAATTTGCTGATTGCCTGGTTATTGAGAAACTTTTTTTTTTTTTTGGTAAGTATTGCGAAACTAGTTGGAAGGTTAAAAATGATTTCTACTTTCATTTGGAACGATGTCGTCTGGGCATTTTTGTCTCAACGGATCATTCCACAAAGTTGTTGAATAGTCATGGATTGACATTTCAATGAGCCCACAAGGGACCAATTCAGTAACTTCTAGTAGTTGGAGGTATAATTATGCAATTTATTGCTGCTACTTAACTCTAAATTCGTATAACTCTTTTATTTTGTGAAACAAAAGGTCACATAGATATAGTGGGGGAAGGGGGGATTTGGCACCTAATGCAACCACATGACTTGAAACCTGTAAAAAACACACTGACCTATCTATCAAGAAGCTTTTGAGTGTTTGGAGCATTATAGCATCTATAATATCAATGAGCCCACAAGGGACCAACTGCCCCTTATATATATATTTTCGGTGGGTCATTTTCATGCCTCAATTCAGTGACTTTGTGGTAGTCGGAGGTTTAATTATGCAATTTATTGCTGTTACCCAACTCTAAATTCTTTCAACCTTTTTCTTTTTTATTTTGTTAAAAAAAAAAAAAAGAAAGGTCGCATGGATATGGTGGGGGAAGGGGAATTTGGCACCTAATGGAACCAGATTACTTGAAACCTGTAAAAGACATGCTAACCTATCAAGAAGCTTTTGAGTGTCTGGAGCATTATAGTAAAGATATCACTATGAAATTGCTAACTTATGGAATTGTGCATTTGAGGGTCAATTTTGGTTTCTCAGCAGCCATTTACGACAGAGTTTGTGGAACACTACTTTCCTAGCAAGTACGCTACAAAAATGTTGACCTTTTGTATTTGAATAGGTCTAATCTTGATATCTGAATTTCAGGTGCTTTTTCAAGTTTGAATGTAGCTTCAAGCATCTCTGGTGCTAATATCTGTGTGCTTTAACCATTGGAATGTTTTGGCAAAGTTCTTTGAATCCTGCAGTCTAGCTATGTCTTGCTGTTCAGTTATGGTACAATGATGAGGTTCCTTTCTTGATAAGCATACCAGAAATTCCATCTGCTGGTTAATGATACTTCTGATAGAGGACTTGATGGCTGGAAGTAATACTTCTGCTGGCTGAAAATATTTCTGCTGGTTTGTGATGAGGCTAAAAGTAAACGTTTTGATATAGAACATTGAGTGCCTAGAAGATCTTCTAAATCAAGTCTTGTCACATGCTTAAATTTGAAAGTAAGGTTGAGTTTCCTAAGATATAGGTACACTGAATTAGCTAGACCTGAGGGCTTGAGCTTTATGAAAAGTTTGAAACTTTGAATCCAACTTGTCCATGGCCTATTGAATGGACTCCTCCACATTTCTCCCTAAAATTTGTCAAGTTATATACAGAGCACACTAGAACTCGTCAAGTATAGCTGAAAACATGAACCACTCAGAACCTTAAAACTTTTCTTTCCTTTCATAGATTTCCCTGTATTTCATGGATTACAAGTCAAACAGTTTGCGTGCATATGCAACAGAAGACTGTGTTCTCTTGTCTAAACCACCTGATGTGATGTGTCTCTTCTGATACCTTGTATTTAAGCTTTTGATTACATGTGTAGGTCGCTGTCCTGGCCCCAAATATTCCTGCAATCTACGAGCTGCACTTTGGAGTTCCAATGGCAGGAGCAGTTCTCTGTACTCTCAATATACGTCATGATTCAGCAATGGTGTCGACATTGCTAAAACACTCCGGTGCAAAAGTCATTTTTGTTGATTATCAGTTACTTCATACTGCAAAAGGGGCATTAGGAATTCTACTAAAGACAAGCAGCAAGACGCCTAAATTAGTTGTGATTCCTGACCAAGCTAGCTCATCTTCCAGGGTTAGTGACATGTATTTCAATAATGACAATTTAGAGTACGAATCTTTCTTGGCATCAGGAAGACCAGACTTTGAGGTTATAAGGCCACATGATGAGTGGGATCCTATTGCTTTGAATTACACTTCAGGTACAACATCAAGCCCCAAAGGTGTTGTCTACAGTCACAGAGGAGCCTACCTCAATTCTCTGGCTGCTGCTCTTTTAAACGAAATGCCATCCATGCCTGTTTATTTGTGGACTGTTCCGATGTTCCATTGCAATGGCTGGTGCCTTACTTGGGCCGTTGCAGCACAGGGTGGCACAAATATTTGTCTGAGAAATGTAACTGCAAAAGGGATTTTTGAGTGCATAGCTAAGCACCAAGTGAGCCACATGGGTGGTGCACCTACAGTATTAAATATGATAATTAATGCACCGTCTGTTGATCGGAGACTGCTTCCAGGAAAAGTGATAGCGATGACAGGCGCTGCCCCCCCTCCTCCTCATGTACTTTTTAAGATGGAGGAGCTGGGATTCAATGTTACTCATTCCTATGGCTTGACCGAAACATATGGTCCTGGAACAGTTTGCACTTGGAAACCTGAGTGGAATTCACTACCACCTCATGCACAAGCCAAGGTCAAGGCTCGTCAAGGGTTGCACCACCTTGGCATGAAGAACTCGATATCAAAGATCCAGAAACAATGCAAAGCGTACCACCGGACACAAAAACAAGGGGTGAGGTGATGTTCAGAGGCAACACCGTCATGAATGGATACTTTAAGGATAGTAAAGCAACAGCTGATGCTTTTAAAGGTGGATGGTTTCGAAGTGGGGACGTGGGGGTGAGACACCCTGATGGATACATAGAATTAAAAGATCGATCCAAAGACATTATCATCTCAGGAGGGGAGAATATTAGCTCGATTGAGGTGGAATCAGTGATTTATAGCCATCCAGCAGTTCTGGAAGCTGCAGTTGTTGGAAGACCAGATGATTATTGGGGTGAAACACCTTGTGCATTTGTCAAATTGAAGGATGATTGTAATGCAAATGCAGATGAAATTATCAAGTATTGCCGTGATCATTTGCCACATTATATGGCTCCACGAACTGTTGTTTTTGGGGAATTGCCAAAAACTTCTACAGGAAAAATACAAAAATTTGTTCTCCGCCAGAAGGCCAAAGACATGGGAAGTCTTTCAAGGACCAGCAGATTATAGCATTTCCGTTGTCTGCAAACTAACAATGTAAACTTCCACCACCTGGTTCTGTTGTTAAGACTGTTGTCACATCACAATTGATCCCTCACCAAGAACTTGATCCTGTTGGCTTTTTGGAGTGAAGGTGGAATATTGAGGATTTGATCGGTACAAGGAAGTGAAAGGCATTTAATATCTTCTTAATTTGTTCCAAGGCGAGATTATAATGAGTTAAATGTCAAGACTTGAGTTGTATTTGATCAACCATATAATGTGCTTTAGTTTAATATGAGATTAGCATTCCACTTCAATCAGAGGAGAAATTTACGACTGTATTAAGGCAAACTTGTCTAACATAGTTTTGATGCAAGCTTGGGACATATTAAAGGATTAAATTCGTCAATCAGTCTGAATGAACAAATCTTGTTTATTCTTTGACAACATCTACTACGAAGACTTCAACTGAAAAGTGTTAGTGTTAAAATGAAGTTGTCTCAGGTAATTTAAGATTGGAGACTTGCTGCAGCAGCTTTACCAATGATTTGCTAGTCAGTAAATCAAGAATCGAGGAGACAATGGTCCAATCACGTCTCAACGGACTTCAGCTTGTGTGAATTACAAATGACCTAAAACATATAGGAGATTCTTTCAGTTTTACAAGTAGTTATTGAACAAACGTGCAGCGCTCTTCACATTTTCCAGCTAGTTTAGTCGCATATCATGACACAGCAAACAAATATCTGTTTTCTAAATTGATTACCAGTTTTGACAGAAGTTCATAGATATGGGAACCGCTTAACTACAGAGATTGTTCAGCGCCTGGAACATATCATATATCCTAGTTGAACAACTCACAAGAAGAAGGATACAGTAATAACAAGTTTCATCTACTGAACAACAAAATGAGTCTAACAATTTCATCAGGTTGTGAGCTCTTTTAGCTTTTGATTTGGGTGGTTTATTTTTCACCAGCTGGGATGCTATTCCTCTGTTGATTGTTGCTCTCTTTTTCTGCTTGCAGTTCCATATTCTAGTATTGCATACGTTCAATGGTATGGTCAGATATGTACCACTTTGTTCTGTAGCTCAAGTTTTTGCCTCTCTATTTCATTCTGAGCCTCCCATTTCTCCAATTCTTTCTTACGCTCAATCAGCTTTTGTTTCCATGCCTCTAGCTGCATGCTCTGAAGATACCTTTTCAACTGATTGGCATGGTATCCAGCATCTTTCTATCTCTGATTCATGTGAAATGGAAGAAGTGAGGGAAAATCAATGCAGATATTGTCACTTGTGAAAAGAGTGAAAGCAAAAAACACTGCATCAAATCATTTAACAACTAAAGACATCATTCTCTGGATGTGAGGAATGAGTACGCACCTTCATTATGGAATCGATCCATCTCTTCCTTTCGAGTCATGAAATCGAATGACAGTATAATAGTTTCATTGTATTTACGCTCACAAACCCTGAGGGACCTGCTGTTATCTTGAATTTCCTTGGTAAGATTGTCAATAAGCCGTGAAGTTATTTGCTTCACTTCTGCTTTAATATCAGCAATAGTCTTCAAATCTGCCTTCTGTTGAAGATATGCTCCAATTAATTCTAATGAATGATAAGCATCAGCAGGGCAACCCATCCATACCACTTATCACCCACATTCATGGTTCAAAGTCTCAGCCGAGACTGAGATAATTCGGCCGAGTTGTCGCCGAAACGACCCCTCCTATATGATACCGAGAAGAGATGACTCTGAGATACTTGACTCGCCGAAAACTCGGTTGAGAAATCTCCGATACGAATAGTCTCGGCCGAATCGGCCCGAGTCAACTTGCAAATTTACATTTTACATATTTTCTTTTGCTAATTTTTTAATTATTTTTGTTTAGAATATTTTTGAATATTATTCACAATTTTTAGAATATTAAATACTTTAAAATTTGTGTCTCACCAAGACCGTGATCAATATGTCGAAACCGATGTGGAACGGTCCAGGCGCGACCGCGACTTTGAATCATGCTTATCACCCGTTATATGCTTCATAGTAATCCCTCCTACCAAGATGCTCTGCTTCAAAACTCTCTTCAAAAGCCATTGCCTCAGACAATCCTGCCTAGTTCTTGTTGAACTCAAGTATTACATACCCTGATAATGTTGCACAGTTCCAGAATGGTTGCACAGTCATTGGATTAAACTATTTCATAGTCAGATCATTCCTAACCTCAGAGCCACAGCTTCCAACATCTTATCCATTTCTATTGTCAGCAGGAATATTTGCAACAATTCCCATCCAAAGATATGCAAATTCTGCATTTACACCTGTGCCTGCATGATGATCACCAGCCATCACCATTCCTAAGGATTTTTCCCCATCTTCAATTTTTCCTTTTTGTGAACTGTTTGAAACTCTACAGACACGCTGGTCAGACCGGACCGACTCTTTTCTGCTACTTGCCTCCTTGCTTGCTCGGAAGTTGGGAGTTGGAACGGAACATCATCTTCTTTTGGCTTTGTTTAACCAATTCATGATCTTTAATGAGGGCACTAATTTCATGGTCTTTTGGCTTTGCCAAACTGATTTTTGTGCATAAGTTTACGCAGGCAATGAAGGAGTAAGTGATACTTTTCTAACTCCGCCTGAACAAAGTCCATGCCAAGAAGCATTTCATTTCCAGTTTGAGTTGATTTATTCTGCAGGGGCTTTCAATTGAAAATGATAGAAATCTCGTAAAATGTGGTATCTGGTTTAGGTCAAGAGACACTGGAAATGAAAATGATGCTGCCTTTTATGTACTTCGATCTTATTCCTTGATCAATTTCAAGTTGGAGCAACTTCCAAGACTCCATGCAAAACACATAATATGGGGTGAAGTTGTGTATGCCAATCTGAGGTTGGTTCCCTAAACTTGGGAGTTGGGACCAAGAGCTACTTCTATCTCTTCACTTTGATTGGTTTATTTTGGAAAACTATACCTGAAATCCAACTTCAAAAAATCCTGCAGCTGAGTTCAATCACAGATACTGCAACAATCTATTCCAATTCCTGATATATTGACTGATATACAATATATACTGACAGAAAGTAAGATCGAAACCATAAATCATGTTGAGCATCTTGCTCAGATCATTTTCCTTCTAAATCATGTCTCTCTTTTCATGAGGTAGTACCTGTTTGCATCTCAAGTTCCTGACCCAAACTAGCTGATCATCCCAGTTGTAAAGATGTACCTATTGAGAGATTTACAGAATTTACTAGAACAAACACTTGAATATATCCCAAAAAACGAGTATAGATAAATCAATGTTTGAAAAGAAAAAGATGCATGTACAGTTCAATCGATATACATAGCACCTGTATAATCTTAGCTTTGGAACCAGGAAAGGTGAATGTCAGGTTTGACATAATACATGAATTGCAAGATCCTTCACTAAGTAAACTTCTGATAGCTTCACTTTTGCCGCATCAAACAGCTGTGAGGATCATGATATGAGGGTGGCATCTGTACCTCTTGAATTGTATCATGAAACCCTGGTCAGGTTCACAAAGAGACCTTACCCTATCAAAATGTTTTGAAGTACGAGAAAGTTGCACCAGTCACATGCCCATTGCAGTTGATATTACAAGGCAGGATCTGTGAGGTTCATTCTGAGTAGTCCCTCTTCATCTCCAAGATATATCTGCATTTCAATCAGATGCAGCTGCCCCTTTGAAGACCCAAAGTACAGAATCAACCTTTTTCACTTTCCCTAGGTATTGGAGTTGCCGGCATCATTTGAACGCGCTCTTTATCCAACGCAAGAAATGCCCCAACTTGCTAATCCAATGCACAGAATTATTAATACAGGCAGAAGCTTTCTTTGGCAAAATCAATGTATCAAAAGACATGTACAAATGTTTCTTTTTCCAATTTCTCTATGACTGGTTAGAAAAACTACTCATCGGATGACACATTACATAATGGTTTACAGCAACAGCTAAAATGTCATTCTCAAACAGAATATTCTGACATAACAACGTCTAGATTCTCAGGGTAAGAATTTAAAACCATAAAGGAGCTTCAAACAAAATGGAAAGAGTTAAAATACTTAGCTTGCTTCGGCAAAATAAGATTCACATGCTAAGTCACGTAGATTTAAAAACAGAAAAAAAAAAAAGGAATTGGATTCTGATAAAGGTATAGCTGGCAACAACCCTGGAGATAGAAAATTCTATGGAGAGAGAAAGGAACAAGCTCAGAAGAGAGAATTCTGATGTTAGCACGCATGTCAACTATCTGTCCTTTATTTCTGCAAGCGTGAAATATAAACTGATACTAACTGAATAGAAAATTCTATAGAGATTATAACCTCTTTGTTTCCAATTATATGATTGGACTTGATAGGTTCATTCAAGACAATAGATGGTGAGACAATGTTTAAAAAATTTTGCAGAAATAACATTACATTGCCCAAGTGCATCCTATTGTGTGGTTATGTTTCTACATCTCTTCCATATTTCTGCATTTCTCTATGTTTTACCTTAATCTATTAAAAAGAAAAAAACAAAAAGAGTGAGAGCCTAGATAGCATTTCTCTATATGATAGCAACTCTACGGCTGAACTACCCTTGATCTTTGATTTGTTGCTGAACTGTTACTGATGCATGACCTATTACCTAATCTATCCACTAACGCATGGTATCACCACTCTGTCAGTTTCTCATCCCATCTTCATTAGGCCCAAACAATAAAAAGGTTCATAATGAGAGAACACAATGGTTCAGTTGAAGAATAGCTTCTATGATCAGGAAACCAAAGAGAGCTGAAATTTGATTTGACATAACATGTTGAAAATTCACTAGCAGCTAACAAAAGCCCAAACTCAACCATAACCCCTGATGCCTTTTCTGATTTTCAAGCAAAAACTCTAAAACAAATTAAAATACAATTTCAAGAGGCCAAATTCAGTATGCCAAATTTATAAACCTATTTTTCAATCAAGAAAACTATGGATGGCCACCAGCAATCAACATGTTCCTATAGGAGGGAAAAGACAGAGCAAGAACAGGAGAGGCAGAAGGCGGAAAGGAAGGTGGGCGAGGAAAGCATCAAAAGGAACAGACATCAGGCAATAAGAAAATGGAGTCCGGGATATGCCTTGTTTGGGCAGTATAAATAGAGATAACCCTAGTGGGGGAATCAAAATGTTAGTGCCCAATTTATGAATAAATCCCATAGATTGGGCCAATGAAAGCCTTAGATCTATTTCCAGAAGCCTTGCAAACACCATCAATCACTATCAGTCTATCACTCTTTTTGCCCATGCCTTAGTTCCAGACCCCCTGACAAGCAACTAGTATGCAAAGAAACACAAAAAGAAATCAATAAATCAAGGACTCCATCAAAAGAAAACAAATATAATCGAGAGCACCAATAGAAAACCTCGGCCAAACTAGTCTGGTTTCTAGTCAATTTCTTTGCTGGCTTTCACCAAGTTTCATAGACTTATAGTCTTCTCTGAGTTTGCATTCGACCAGATCGAACAGCTGAAAATTCCTGGATGAACCAATTGAACCATTCAAAGGTTGAATATTTCCTAGGCAGATTTCCTGCAAAAAATACATAACTCAATTACCCAATTAAAAAATAAAATCCACCATTAAAGGAAAACCATGGTGTAACATGCCAAATTTGTCTTCTTTTTCTGCTGCATTAGGGAAGCCAAAGAACAAGTTTTACTTTAAAAATATGTCTGGTGACCTTAAAATCTTATTGAGGTTCAATTACTTACTAAGGGATTATGATGACGAAGAGGCTCTAAATATAAATTGTCATAATAAAAAATATAGACACTGAAAGAGAAAGAGAGACTGAGATATTGTCTATGCAGGTCTGTGGTAAATTTATAGCTCTGTCTTTTAGAAAAATGGAAGGCTTTAATGATCATAACAGCTGTAGCCAACTTCCTTTACCGGCATCATTTACAGAGTGGAGCAAATATACCGACAAAAACGGAATAGTTATCTGATTCCGCTCAATCAGGTGTTTGGTAACACATTTATTGTGTTACAAGAATACATCAACACTAGATTTCCAATTGTACTAAGAGAAGCAAGGTAAAAAGGCTGCAGCTCACAATGTATTTAACCTTTTAAACTCAGTAAACAACTTCAGTTAATTTGGTTACAGCTGGTGATACCATTCCATTCATATAAAATGCAAATTCCGTTAATCCGAAGAAGTTAATGAACAAATCTAACTGTGCTGTATTAAATTTATACGTTGTATTAACAAGTTTAGTGTTTCTGTGCATAAATTACTGGTTACTTACTTAGAGATGTTAATTCACCATCATCAGCTCACTATGAATTTGAATTACGCAAGACCAGAGTTAATTTGAAAAGGTTGAAAGTATTCAAGACCAAAGTTAATTTTCCCAGGTAACACAGCAAGACCAGAATGCAAGTGATATGAAAAAAGTTGAAAAGGAAAAAATTTAAATTAAAATTAGAAAAGCAAAAAGGAGCCAAAGTGGAGTATGGAGTATATCTTAGTATTGTCAACTGAACAGCAGCCCCAAGTTCAAAACAATTTAAGGGGCAATTTTGGCAAGTTTTGTGAAACGGTCAAATATATGCCCTCAGGTAACACAATCAAGACCAGATTCAGTCTCACAAAAGAATAATCAAAAGACGTCAAAAAGTTGAAAATATGAAGAAAAGAAAAAGCAGCAAAAGGAAAAGATCTTAGAATTGTCAACTTAACAGCATCACCTACACAAGTACAAAATAGTTGAAGAGGCAATTTTGGCATGTTTTAGGAAACACTCAACAGTTGCTCACAAATAAGCCTACTGAATAGTGCTTCAGAGACAATTTCAAATATATGGCTTTATTGGGTAACTTTTAGATACTTCAAATGACAAATTACATTTCAAAGGATGAAAATGTACTTCTAAAGAAAGGTGGTTAGTCATCCGCATAGATCACCTCTTTGGAGACAACATTGGGAACATCTTATGTTCACTTCTCATGGCTATATACTCTCATTCAGGAAAGAAAACAAGATTGACCAAGAAAGTGGCATGTCGAATTCTCTCCAGAGGTGGATTTGCATATTTACCTTATATATGAAGCTTCATATTAACATACGAATGATGTTGAAAACTCAAAATCAGTGAATAGTATGTTATGCTCTTTCTTGATAAATAGCTAGAAAAAAAAACTATTTTCCCGATCGTTTTGTCAAATAAAATCAAATTTCTCGGCACAAGGGGACATTGATTCCATATTTGGAAAAATATATGCATTAGGACCCTATCCCATGCTATGCTATCAATGTACCTATGCCTTTTACTTGTTTTCCCAATTTGCAGCTTTCAAGGTCAAAGACCTTTGACTTGTCCACAGTCATAATGCTCTGCTAGTCATAATGTGAAATATGCATATATACATCCAAATCAGGAGCTGCAGACTTAGGCTGAGAAATCTAGTAACAAGCATAAGCCACACAAGTTCACATTTGAGAAAACTTTAAAAGATTAAGCATATAAATCAATTCAGTATTCCTTATATCTTGTGATAAAATTTGAGGTCAATAGGTCAGGATCCAGTGCTACAAGAGTTCAATCAGAAAATAACAATCTCCTACCAAAGAGGAAACATTTTAATCTTTGATCTCTTGGTTTCTGATTCTAGAGAACCAATACGAAGTTGCAAAAAACAATTATAAACATGCGACTCAGATATAACAAGAAAACCAAAAGGCAGGGGAAAGTAGGAAGAATAGACTATAATCCTGCCACCAGAAGACGTGTTTCATCCAATTATGCATGTAAACTTACAAATAGTGAACCATATAACAGTAAATTACATCTTTAACCATGAAGCAAGCACATCAAAAGCACAATATGGCAGGTGAGAAAACTTTAACAGTATACAGTTCCACATTCTTTTCATTAGAAAGTAATAGGGCTTTTCACACAAATTCATGCAAAGTTATCACAAACCATAACACTATGTATAAGAAGTGCTTTTAATTAAGTTAATTCAGATTTTGTAAAGGAATTTAAAAACAATATATCTTGGAAGTAATTTCAACAACATGCTCTACTTCAAATTACGGTTTTAAAGTCGACAGAAGTAATGAAATTTCTTCAATGTAATGGGCAAAGAAATGAAACTTCTGTGTACATAAATTTCTCCAGAGTTAATTCAATGTGTTGAAATAGGTTTATTATCACGTGGCTTCTCACCTAAATTAATGTTTTGGAGACCGAAAAGATGAATAATTGTAACTCCAATACCTAATTCTTCTTTCATAGTCCATATATTCATGCTACAAGCCAAACTGACTGTCATTCACTATAGCAGCCCAAAATGCACTTTCATTGCATATTTAGCTAAAGTCTTCTTAAAATAATAGCTATCAACCTTAAATGCATAAACGATGCCCCCACAACATCTTCTTCCCTTCGTAAATTAGAACAATTTGGTTAGACCCAATTCACCAGACAAAAGAATAACTTTTTCCTTCAAAAACTACTGTGGAATAATCCTCTTAAGTATTAAGCAACTCAGAACCTTATTCAAGGCTATGATTAACAGCTGTTAAGCCATAGAATTTCCGGGAATGAGGACATTCAAAAGATTTAGCAGCTTTATTTGAGTTTTCTTCACTTCTATTGGGCACATCGATTTCCAAATTGTCTGTCTTGTTGTCTCATTACAAATTCAGCTCCTTGAACATATCTTAAATAACAGTAGTAGTCACTTGGTGTTGTTTTAACTCACCATAATGAGTACCAAAACCCTCCAATAATGCAAGTCAGAATACATGGAAAGGCAAATGAATGAAGATGAAAGTGAATGTTAATGGCTTCATGAGAGAGTCTAATATTCAATGCAACATGGTAAAATCACAGGTTCCTTTGAAACTTACAGAGTAAAAATCAAGTTTTTCTTCTGATTTCTTCCACTTGAAGTCACTGAAAAAGAATTCCAATACCCAACAATTAGGACCTCTAAGCAAATAAATGGAGGCTAAAACTGGAAAATTTTTCAAAACTTTGCCATTACTTAAGTTTCAATGTACTCAATTTCCACAATTTCAGTTATGAAGGTTATTAGTTTTCCAATCTTGCAACAGCTTGTGAATTCCACTCTTTGAAGCAAATTTATAATCAGTTACTTGTTACTTAGCTGCTCTTATGTGGGTAAAAAAGTTGTTCCAAGAAGATTATACATAAAACGTATTCTTCCTCACTTTCAAATTATGACAAGAAAAGGAAAAATAGAGAATGCATATTCTCTTACCATTAACCAAACTTGATTTCTTTTATATCCTCACATCTCTTTGGGAAGTTGTACATGTTCCTTCTGACCCAACCTGAAATTTCAGGCTCAGTTCTCAAGTAAATCGTTAAAACACTAATTCATCATTTATGCATAAAAATCCAATGTCTCAGTAATTGTACACAAGATAATGCACTGACTAAGAAGTTCTTTTTCTGGACAGCACTGACTCATACCTTATAATCATTCATTACGTTAAAATGTAAATTGCAATAGCAGAGATTGAATAATAGTTAGAGCAAGTGAATCTTGTCTCTGTGTTATAATCTTAACGTGAAACCAGTACCCTCAGCTCCACGCCCTCAACTGTATCAAAAAAACCTCCAAAACGTAAGCCATTACAGCCACAATTTTCCTCCATCTGCATAAGAAAAGCACATTAAAGGCCTGAGCAATACATCATATAGACCACACATGCAAATTTTCATGTATCTGCATAAGAAAGAAGACACCTTGTGGCAACAACACTGAAGGCAAAGCAGATAGTTCATCGGTCTCAGACTCTAAATTACAACATTGTAGAGAAGACACAGTAATTTTCTCCAATAGAAAAGTGGCAGACTTTTGTACAGAATTTCCCAGTGTTTTGGCTAGCCAATAGTGCAGCTCCACAATTTGACATGGAAGTGAAATACTTCAAGGTGAGAGCATGTCACAGCATACATGCTATGGCCCTAAGTCAAATAAGGTTCTTTGCTCTGTGGACTTGTAGACGCAACATCTTTCTATTCCTGCATAATATCACCATATTGATCAAAACTATTCTGCCTTTATGCAAAAATTGTTTCTTTATCACATACACAAAAATATGTGCCTGAGAAAGTGTGCATACGATAGACACCATGTTGTTAACTTTCCTATTACTCCAATACCCTTACCATGCATCCAGCCTTTTAAGTTAGCTTCCTCTGCAACTTTCGGCATGCTTTTGAAATAGTCACTCAACAAAAGCTGCTAAACTACGAATATGACCACCAAATTACAAACCCAAAAGAAAAGGACTATTCTGCTGAAGTGTGACAATATCTCTACACTGATTCAGGGCAATAATCCAATTCATCTTTTCATTCTTTTCCAACATGTATTTCGATTATACTACCTTTCTTCCTCCTAGCAATACGTTAGGGTTCGACTCCTCTGCTTGAAGCACCTCATTGCCAATTAACCCATCAGGATAATCATGCTGCCACCAGATTGATCAATTAACGATCGACAAAGAGTTACATACTACATGGCACCACCAGATTGATCAAAGATATTTTGCCTTCAGAAAAAGATCATTTCTTTATCACATACGAGTTAATATATACTTAAGAAAGTGGGCATTGTCAAAAAAGGCGCCTCATTAACTTTCCTATTACTTCAATACCCCTTAACATGCATCCATCTCTCCTTTTCATTTGGCTTCTTTTGCACTTTCAACATGTTATGGAAATGCCCAACCAAGAAAAGCCACCAAATTTGGAATTCGACCACCAAGCTAAAATCCCAAATGAGAAAAATTATTCTGCTTAAGTGTGGCAACATCTGTAAACTAATTAAAGGCAAAAATCAAATTCATCTTTTCATTCTTTCCCAGTAAGTATTTTCATCATCTTACCCTTCTTCCTCCCGGCTATACTCAGAAAAACGTACCAATAAAAAACGAAAACATTTCCCCTACTCAACATCATAGTTCATCTAAAAATTCATAAGCAGCAACCAATACTTTAAGATTATAATTTAATCACTCGACTAAATTACCAATTCAACAAGGCTTGATCATTACATAACTATCAACTTGCTAACCCAAGAACTAATGCGGACAGAAAAACATCATGTTTAACAAGATGTACGAAATGAGAATTGAACCCAAATAAACCCCAAAAAAAATAATAAAGAACAGGATATGAGAATTACAGAAACAACAGTAGTAGAGATTGTTGCAGAGAAACTAGCAACTCAAGTGCCTGGCTTTCATGTTCTGCATTAGGATGCAATTGAGGAATACAGAAAATTGAACGAGGGAAAAGAGCGAAAGAAAAGTTGTTAATGACTCGTCAACGGCCCCAAAAATTAACAAAGGAATTTAGTTGCCATCTATACCCTCAAACTAACACAAATTTCCAATTTTTACAGCATACCATATGCTATGAACTCTAGAAAATCTATTAACACAATATTTTGTTTGTTTGGATTGTAAATTATTTGAGATATTTTTACTGTATCACATTTTGTAATGTGATGTATGTGAGATAAAAAGGTAATTGAAAAGATAAAAAGCTGTATTGAAAATTATAATGGTAATATCAGTAAATATATTTGGGCAAATAATCTACTGTCCAAACAAACCTATTAATATTTGTTTTTCAACAAAAAAGAGATAGTGTATTAGCGTGTAGTAGTAAAAGATTTTCAAAAGGGGAAAATTGTTCAAAACATCTTCATTTTGTTGAATAAATGTTTTCATCACGTATTTTTAAAATTTTAATTTTAATTCCTAATAAATTTAATTTGGTAAAATTTGGATCCAACTTAAATTTTTTATTACTTCTTAGTCTGAAATCACCACGTGACCCATATATAGTCATTTTATATATATATAATATATATATAAGTCAAATTTTACTTTTTTTGTTGTACAAAATGTATATAAATTTGGTCAGATTTCACTTTTTTAAAAGAAAAAATAAACATAATTCAGACCATATCTTACTTTTTTAAGGGTAAAAGCGAATATAGATTGGATCATTTATTTGATTACAAATAAGATCTAACCTTTTTTTCCTCAAAAAATGACACGTATATAGGTCATGTGATGGATTCATAGTAAAAAGTGGTCGAAAACTTATGTTGAAACCTATTTCCCAACTTGATTTTGTGAAGAACATAAATTTATCAATTGAAAAATGAAAGACAAAAAAAATTATTTAGCGAAATAAGGGACGTTTTAAATGATTTTCCTTTTCAAAATAGTAAAATTGATAAATTCCAAACATAAAATCACGTAGAGGTACCATCAAGTTGAGTTGAGTTTATGGTACGAGAGATAGATTGAGTAGTTCAAAGAAAGGGAATATAAGTAAGAGATTTCGGATTCGAATCTTTCCATTTATACTAATAAAAAATTTGAGTCGAATTTGAATAGTGCAGTATTTGAACTCTACTCGAATAAAAAGTACTTCAAATCAAGTTTTAAAATTTACCTCAAGGCTCTCAAACTCATCTTGGGCTTGTTTGGCACCATAGTTTTTACCAAGTTTTTTTAGTTACGTTGTTTTTTTAACAACTTTTGCTACAGGAGCCCTAAAAAACTTCTCAAAGTTTTTTATCTACACACTTAAAATATCCAAAACACAACAAAAAAAAATTCCCTTCTCTCTTTTCTTTTTCTTCCTCCCTCACCACTACCTTCGCCTGCACTGGCTCCGGTGGGTTTTCTTTTTTTTTCCTCTCTTTTTTCCCTCTCCCTCTTCCTCCTTGCCATCCTCCCCTATTGTCTTTTTTTTCTCTTTGCGTCTCCCCCATTTCCTTCCCCACCTCTCTGTGAAAAAAAAAGAAAGAAAAGAAAGATGGTGAGAAGTGGGAAGGAGAACAGGGAAGGCAGAGGGGGTGGCAGGGAGAGGGGAGTGGCGGCGCAGAGGGATAAGGCGTAAAGGAGGTGGCGGGGGGAGGGGGGAGAAGGGGAAAGGGAGGAGAGGGGTGGCGGGAGGTGGCATTGGTGGAGTTGCTGCTGGGGGTGGCGGAGGTAACGGAAGAAGAAGAAGAAAAGAAAAAGGAAAGAAAGAAAAAGAAAAAGAAAGAAAAAAAAGAAAAGGAAAAAAAAGTTTTTCACCTTACAAAAACTTCTACAAAATTTTTTCAAAAAACTTCTACAATGTACTACAGTAAAGTTTTAGACAAACTCCCAAGTTCCAAACAGGCCCCTTATTTGGCCTTAATCAAATTCAAGTTCAAATTCAATCAAATCGACCTCAATCAAACTTACTGATATTTATTTTATATAACTTTAAACAAGAAATACAAAATGTTCATTTTTGGCTAATACATATAAGAATATAAAAAATATATATACACATTTAAAACTTGATTAAGTGCAATTAAACTGCACGACTCATCAAACTGTTCAGAGACACTTGAACTCGGTTAATGCAAAGTTTCAACTCAAAACTTTGACCAAGCAAATAATAAATAATATAATAATAATAATAATAACAATAATAATAATAATAATTTCACTTTTAAAAAGAATAAATGAACATAGTTTAGGTCTAATCTTACTTTTGAAGCGTAGAAATGAATATAGATCGGATCATTTATTTGATTACAAATACGATATAACATTTTTCCCCTAAAAAATGACAATATATAGGTCATGTGATGGATTCACGGTAAAAAGTAGTTAAAAATATAAGTTGAGATAAAATTTTACTAACTTGATTTTGGTAAAACTTGGTTCCAACCTAAATTTTTGATCACTTCGGTAAAACTTGGTTCCAACTAGGCATGTCAATGGATCAGATCTTATCCAGACCCAATATATTTGAGTAGGATTTGGATTTAATTTCTCAAATTCATACCCTATCCAGACCCAAACCCCATGAGAGAGTCGTGGATCTGGGTAGGGTCTGATTTTCTAGAATTTATATCCAAATCCAGACCCATATCAGAGTTTATCCAGACCCATATATATAATTAAATAATATATATATTAGAAATTTATAAAATAATATAATATTTTATGGCTATTGGATCGAATACAGTAAGATATTATGGCATCAGAATCTACATTTAGTGTTGGTGATTGGTTGACTGATGAGACTCGTGCCAAATTGCTTCTAGATGTGATTGAAATATTAGGGACTACTGATGATTGGATTGAATAAATAAATAAAAAATGAGCGAGTGTTTATAAATCTTTTTATTCTAGTATTTATTTGCCATCGGTTCTTAATCAAATGATTGTTATCTCATTCACTATTATAGTGTTGGATTACGAGACATTTGCCAGCATTGAGATTTAAATAAGAAAAAGAGGTATAAAATTACAGTTTTTTAATAAGACTAAATATTTATATATGTTTTTGGTTGTTTCTTTTTAAAAATTAATCCTAGTTGTCATTGTAATTGATACAAACTTTTTCAATAAAAGGAGAAAAGGTAAAGGCCAACAAATGAAATATTGATGTGAATGCAGTTGAATATTTAAAAATATATAGAAGTAGTCAATAATAATTCTTTTTTTGAATTCAAAATATTGCACTCAATTTGTTGAATGTTAATTTTATTATTTGAAAACAAAAATTGGATGGCATTTCTATTATTTATGAACTTTATATATTTTTAGTACATTTTTACTTAAGTATTTTCAGAAAATACCCATGGATGCACGACTTACTTTTTCAGACCCAAAAGGGTTTAGATCTGGGTCTGGGTCTAACTAAATTAAATAGATCTGGATTTGAATCAAAGGGATCAAACTCAGACCCTACCAATTGACATGCCCAGTTCCAACCTAAATTTTTGATCACTTTTTAGTCTAAAATCACCACGTAACCCATATGTAGTTATTCTATATGTGTGTGTGTGTATAAAGTCAAATTCCACTTTTTGTTGTACAAAATGAATATAAATTTAGTCAGATTTCACTTTTTAAAAAGAAAAAATGAACATAGTTCGGATTAAATCTTACTTTTTTAAAGGTAAAAACGAATATGGATCTGATCATTTATTTGATTACAAATAGGATCTAATCTTTTTCCTCTAAAAAATGACCATAAATAGGTCATGTGATGGATTCACGGTAAAAAGTATTTGAAAACATAAGTTGAGACCAAAATTTACTAACTTGATTTTGTGAAAAACGTAAATTTGTTAAAAAATAAAAGATAAAAATTCATTTTATCGAAATATGAAGGACATTTTGAATAATTTTCCCTTTTAAACTAGTAAAATTGATAAATTCCAAGCATAAAATCAAGTAGAGTACCATCAAGTTGAGTTGAATTTATGGCGTGAGGGATATATTAGGTGGTCAAAGAAAAGCGAATATAAGTGAGAGATTTCGAATTCAAATCTTTCGACTTATACTAATAAAAAAAATTTTGAGTCGAATTTGAGTAGTGCACTACTTGAATTCTACTCGAATAAAAATATTTCGATTCAAGTTCCTAAAAATTGACCTTGAGGCTCTAGCTCAATCTTATTTGGCTTTGTTCGAATTCGAGTTCAAATTTAATCAAATCGTCCTCAATCAAACTTGTTGATATAAATTATTATTTTATATAACTTTAAACAAGAAATACAATGTTCAATTTTTGCTAATAAATATAAGAATAAAAAATATAAATGCATATTCAAAACTCGATTAAGTGCGATTAAGCTGCACGGCTCATCAAACCGTTCAGAGGCACTGGAACTCGATTAATGCAACTTTCAAGTCAAAACTTTGACCAAGCGGAATTGTGAGTAGTTAAAATAATAATAATAATTAATGGTAGCATAACTGCGCTTAACCGTATAATTTCACAGGTGGCACATCCCCCACTACTTATAAGCCGCGTGGTGGATAGTAGGGTTTCCAATTCCCAAAATCGAGACCCAAATAAATACACGTCGTTTTGCTCTAACCCTAACGCTTACTCCGCTTGTTCTTCGTCGCCGCCGAATCGGTATCTCTTCCTTCTTTTTCTGCCTTCTAGGGTTGATTTCTTCCCCCTTATGTCCCTCAATTTGCCCCTTTTTTTACTGAATTTGCTTCGTTGTTTGTTGTTCTTTGTAGGTTCGGAAATTAACCACCGGCTGCTCCACCTTACGTATGTTGTATTCTCTTTTGATTCGGTTTTTCTTGTTGCATTATTGGGGGAAAAGATCATATTCTGTTGTTATTTTATGGTCTAAAGTTTGCTGTTTGTGTTTTTTCTTTTCTTTGAAAGGTTGATTTCAAAGTAAATTTTACTGTTCTTGGCGCGTTTTAATTACTTGGCTATTATTAATTAAGTGGGTTTGAAGAGAATGAGATGATGATGATTTTTCTAGTTATTTGATGGCCGATTTGATGGCGATTTATCTTGTATTA